CACAAACCGACCGACATTGCTGCTGGGAGGCACTGTTTCAATGGTGAGCGGTATATGCCATTCAGTTCGCAAACATTTGATCGAATGCTGTTGATAGTGGCTAGCAAATTGCGTTATCGTATCCGGAACGGTATCCATCTGATAACAGCTTTAAATGGAATCGGCATACGTCCGCATGAACTCTTGGTTATGGTACCTTGAATGTAGTAGCAATGATGATATCAATTCGGATTCGTTGGCCCATATATTTTGCGATGTTTTGAACAACACTAGGATCGACTGGAGCAATAATGGTCTACCATTTATTAAATTCAGTACCAAAGACATTTCGCCACTAGTCACCATTCTGACGATAAACGTATTCTTTACTTTGTATCATGTGGTGTTCAACAAAAATTTGGACTTCAGATGGATTCGTCTCTCAATGTTGCCTTAACCGAGGTCTGCATGCACTATTTTGTAAACAAGGTATGACTTTGTCATCTATAAAACCAATCCTATACTTTCATCACAATGGTTATATCTTCGTCAATAATTATGCAAATTGACTCAGCTGATTTCTCATTCACTTGAATTCCCTAGATACTGCCAATCGCTTAAAATCCACCTTAGAAAAGACGACAATAATATGTTACCTTCTCTAGACATCTTTATTAAGCATAACGTTGACAGATCCATCTGTATATAAAAAACCGTCTCTTTCCAATCATTATTTAAATCCTTCTTCGTGTAGCCTTCAGTCCGTCTTTACTAATATTTTAAAATACATACGTTTCAGAGCTTTCAAATATTGCAGTCGAAAACTTTTTTCTGAAGAAACTGAGCACCCTTCTAAACTCTCCTGAAAAATGGCTGCATCAAATGATAACTTTAGTCTTTACTTATTCACCTAATTCATGGACTTACCGCTAACGTCAATTTGAGCAATTCTATCAGTGTTTTATGTATCCACAGTACATCTGATGACATATGCAGGTTGCTGGGAAAGCATACTGTAAATATATTCTTATCACGAAGTCTGACTTTAGGTTTGTGCTTTACAAGAAACCGTCCGCCACTATCCGTTATTACCCAGCCGAAAGAACGGTTTAACCATTACAAAAGGATTTACTGATTGGAAATACTTTCAGAACACTAATAATCAGATTTTGTGAACATCGACGAGCTACTACAACTCGCTATTTACAATGCTCAGGTTTCGTTGCTATCGTCTTTGAACATGGCTAAGATATTGTAGAAGAAGATAACATTTAAGTGGTTGACCATGAAGATGATGAAGCTAATGGTTGTATAGCTTCCATTTGACATCGCTAAAGGTTGGAGTTTACTGCATCCGCTTATTATTTTCGTTGTCAACCACTGAAACGTTGGCACGTATTGTAAAGTTCTTAGTTTTCTGTTCCGAAGACCGCAACGTTGACAACTGTGTAATAAACAATTCGTAACATCCGCCTTTGTCTTGCACCCAAAAACACTAGATCAAAATGAACTCTGGAAATCCAAAAACTAGTTGGAAGGAGGTTTATCATTTCTAATATAAGTATTTTACCAGGCCATGCTCCTTTGTAATTTTTAACCCTGATGGTTTCATTTTGAGACTAGAACCTTTCATAATTTGCGTTCCTTCTGGTTCACTGGGCCTTCATGATTCTCTAATCTTGTGATCCATTTTTCTTTTATTGATTTTATAGCATTTTCTCTTTTAAACTTACTTTTACCGCTGTTGCTTTTTCGTTTATTATAAAATGAAGCTTCATTGGCGTGAGAATCATGACTTGTTTTGGCAGAACTGTAACCTTACCGTCAGGCGTTCTCCAAAAAACAGTTTATTCATCCTGTCTAAAATGTATTTGTTTCAGACCCGGCAGCCGGCGATGCAAGCGACTGGGTTAAATTCAAACTAGGTGCGTCGTCAGTCTAAATCACCGAGTACGCTATGAACTGATAGTGAATTTAGCCACGCCGTACAGCTACATAATTGAGATGCCTCCAGCTTCTGACAGCGGTTACGGGTTTCAATTTCCAGAGAGCGAAATTCTTCCCGTTGGCAGAGGAGTATGCAGTGATTTTTACTATTTATTTTTTCAATCGTACTTCTTTAAACAAAAAATATACTAACCATAAATGACAACAAATGCAGTACAGTACCATACGTCTAAGTTTCAACCGTTGAACATGGAAAGTGTTTCGGTGTTGCGGTAATGTGTATCTCTTCTAATTGAGTTGAAAAAATTTATAGGCAGATCTTCAGTTAGACAAATTTGACTCTATTATTTATATGAAAAACGGTTTTTGGTTGGCTGCAGAAAAATGTGTAGTTTGACTGCTCTGGCGAGCTCATACGTTTCGATTTGGATGTAACATGTTAAAGTTTGTTGAATATTCAATTTCAAGCTGTCGAATGAGGGGGAGAGGATATTTTCAGTATTCCCCTTGGCCATTTCAAACGTCAAACTTGTAGTTTCACCTTTTAAGAGGATGAGCATGCAAGGCACTATATGTTTTTCAAAAGATATTCCCTTGAAATGTAGCCTGTATGGATATTCCTCACTCCGTACGAAAAACAGCAGCCATGCCGTTGTTCTGGAGGAAAACCTGTACCCGAAGAGCTGCATGCATGAACAGTTCTACAGGATGGACTGGAAATTAAACAGGATCCACAAATCGGATGGAACGACAGCCATTTTCCATCCATTACCAGAAGTTCGGTGAAAGAATCAAACGTTTCATGACCAGGTACAGAATAACCACGGCTTGTAAATCACTAAACAAGCTTGGCAGCCTTCTGTACAATAAAGGCATCATGCCAAAAGAAGAGGATGTTTGGGTAATGGATGATCTGATCCTACGAAGAACGTTTCTTTAGAGAAACTGGTATAATGCGGATGAACAGGATCAGGGAACACCGCTTTACTCAGCAGAGCAGATGCGAAGGGCTCTGCCTTTGCCGAATGTCATGCGGTTAGATACGTGCAGTCTCGTCTACGAGGAAGCGAACTGGCGAAAACGATGGATCTTGAAAGCAGTCAATGTTGAACAGACGAAAATGCAAGATCAACAGACAGGAAGAAACTTCATAAACTAATGTGGCATGGCTTCCTCGTTTAGGTGATTAAACAATATAATTTGAGTTCCCGTGCCTCCCTCGTTACAAACTCATAATCATACTCTTGCATCCTTCCCATAGTACCAAAAATAATCAAAATACATCAAGAACAGCCGCTATCTCGGTGCAAGAAACAAACCTCATCATGCAGAATAGTGGGAGAACAACTACTCCACGTTTGACTTACAGATAGCTCACCACTTTGGGACGCAGGATCGTTGTGGATGTTGTTCCGGATTCAGCAGTGATTGCGCACTCTCAGATTCGGAACTAAACTATGTAAATAATTAAAGGAAATTGTCTATTTAAATAACTTAGTCTTTTTACGCTTTAATCCACAGTCAGTACATAGACCCCCCCTTCTCTGAAGAATACCTGCTGCTTTGAAAAAATTTCTGGAGTTTTAAACAATAACTTTGTCAATCTGAAGGTGCGTTGGGCATTCATTTATACTCAGAGATTGTGAAGCTGCTGCCTATCAATGCGGGAATATTGGTGTTTGCATAATATTTGTTTGTCGGTGTTTATAGAAATTATTTTATTTTCAGATGTACGCTGGATTAACGGAGGCTGTCCGGACAATTCTCGTACAGCTGAGAAGAACGAAGCGAGACAAATGAACGGTGTGCGTTATGTAAAATTTGCTTGTTATTCTGAACAGACTTGTATTCTTCATATTCTGATCTTAATTTGTACATGTGTTATATCCGTAATAAAGGCTAGGGACTTTCATGCGTATCATTTTCAATGAATATCAGGACTTGTCAAAAAAAATACATTTGTATTGTGTTAAAATGTTTAAAATTTTTACAGGCGCCATTTTTAGCATGTC